CATTCTTCACATTTGTATGATTTCACTTCAGTATTCATTTGCTGATGTTGAGATCCGGTTGAGTGCCAGTCAAAGACTTTACCACGTTCCTTAAAAATGGGTGTTTTCTCTCCACTAGGGATTGTCTTCTTTCTACTTAGTCTTTTTTTTTTAAAGAGATTATTTATTTAACAGACAGAGATCATAAGTAGGCAGAGAGGCAGGCAGAGAGAGAGGGGGAAGCAGGCTCTCCACCGAGCAGAGAGCCTGACGTGGGGCTCGATCCCAGGACCCTGAGATCATGACCTGAGCCAAAGGCAGAGGCTTCAACCCACTGAGCCACCCAGGTGCCCCCTTTCTACTTAGTCTTGATGACTGACTAAATGTGGGACGTTTAGCATATCTGAATGGGTTTTTGGCCTCATGAATTCTCTGATGATCACCAATATTGGAGGGCTGCTGAGGACCATTCTAACACTGACTGGATTCATCAGGATTTTCTACAAAAAGGATACTCTCATGTGTAATAAAGTTAGACTTCTGATGAAAGACTTCACCACCTTTATAACATTCATACTGGTTCTCTGAAAACTGAGTCCTCACACGTGTCTGAACACTGCAACCCTGGTGAAGTGTTTTCTCAGATTCAGGGCACTGAGCAATGCTGTCTCCATTGGAAGGGCTCTGGTCATTCTGGAGGGTCGACTCCTCAGTGAAGCCCCTCTCGTATGGATCCCGCTTAGCACTTTCTTCTTCATTATTCAATCTGATTTTTAGAAGTATCTGATTGAAAGGTCAATCCAATCCCATTTTGAAAATGGTTCAAATCGTTATTTTCAGGACGGACTAGATAACTTTCCAGATTGTCCAAACTGTCTTTCCACAAAGAGCTACGTTGGAATACTTGATTGGAGCTTTTGCTGACAGAAACACACTGCTTTGTGGAAGCAGCTGACTTAAAAAGGGAGGTTTTCCATGATGTTTTATATCCTTCACTATTCGGGTCATTTTGAGTCTTATTAGATGCCGTTGCCTCAGATGGGCTATATCCTTCATGGTATCCTTGATGCCCTTCCTTCTCCCTATCACCGTCCCAGTCTGTCATTAAGTATACATTTTCAAGGGCACTATTTTTGTATCTACCCATCGTCACTTTTTGGAAAGAAGCTTCTATGCTCGGCTTTTCCAGGAAGTTCTGGGTGTCATGTGAAGATATGGCTGAAAGATATCAAATAAGAGAAAAGGAAACTCATTGCACTTACTACTTTCAGATGAATATACTGATGATTTGTAACATACAAGCTTTCAGTCAATCAAAGAGTGTCAGAAAGATGGCTGGGAAGGAATCATCAGAATTTCCTTCCCCCATGGACACCTTACCTTGGAACACAACATACTGACCACATCTCCTA